TACCTAGGTGTCCTTGGGAGTTTGGTTACAGGACATACCCTTGAGGCCCAAACTCTGGATGTTTAAGTATCTCAGGTGTAATATTGTCAATGCAAATCCTCCTTTAAGCTGTGTTGCCTCTAGATTACTTATAATGTGCAATGTAAGCACTTGTTACTCTACTTTGTTTAGAGAGTATCAAGAAAAAAATCTGTACTTACATATTTTTGTATATACTTTTACATTTTTTATTTACTGTGTATGAGTGTTTTTTCCTGCACATATGTCTGTGTACCATGTGTGCACTATGCCCATGAAGGCCAGAAAGGACATCAGATCCCCTGGAACTGTAGTTACATATGGTGTGAACCACCATGTGAGTGTCAGGAATTGAACCTGAGTCCTCTGGAAGAACAGCCAATGTTCTTAACTGCTGAGCCATCTTTCTGGCCCCGTATGTTTTATTATTTTACTATTACTATTGGGTTTTTTTGTTTTGTTTTGAGACATGGTTTCTCTGTGTAGCCTTGCTGTCCTGGAACTCACTCTGTAGACCAGGTTGGCCTCGAAATCAGATCTGCCTGCCTCTGCCTCCCAAGTGCTGGGATTACAGCCCAAAAGTTTGAACTCATAGCTTCATGCACTCTAAGCAACTATTCTGCCATTGAGGTACATCCCAACATTTTTCCTCAAAAGAAAGCTGGCAGGAAGAGGGCAGAATCTTGAACTTATTGATAACTCACTAGCAAGCCACTTGTCTTTGGCTCCCCGGTGCCATAGGGTTTATGAGGATGAAGTAAAAGGAGGGGCTGGAGAGATGACTCTGGTTAAGAGTACTGGCTGCTCTTCTGGAGTACCTGGGTTTGATTCCCAGCACTAACACAGCAGCTCACACCATCTGTATCTCCAGTTCCAGGGGTCCCACATCCTATTCTGGCCTCCACAAGCACTTACATGGTACACAGACATATATGCAGGTAAAGCATCTATACTCATAATTATTTTTAAAAATATTTTAAGCATAGTAAAATTTTAGTTATTTTTCTGCCATGAAAGTGATCCAGAAGGAAAGATTTTGGGGACTAGATACTTGCTATAGCCTCTGTATGTTAATATTTCAACACCTCAGAGGACAGTATTAGAGGAGAGCTCTTGGGAGGTGATTAGGTCATAACAACAGCATCCTCAATGGTATTAGTGTTGTATTACCAAACACAGGTGTTTTTGAGACAGGGTCTATAAACTGGGTTGACCTATGTCTTAGGGTTTCTTTTTTTTTTTTTTTTTTTTTTTTTTTTTTGAGACAGGGTTTCTCTGTGGCTTTGGAGGTTATCCTGGAACTAGCTCTTGTAGACCAGGCTGGTCTCAAACTCACAGAGAGCCACCTGTCTCTGCCTCCTGAGTGCTGGGATTAAAGGCGTGTGCCATCACCACCCGGCTGTTTTAGAGTTCCTATTGTTGTGAAGAAACACCATGAACATGGCAACTCTTGTTTTTTTGTTTTTTGTTTTTTTGGTTTTTCGAGACAGGGTTTTTCTGTATAGCTTTGGAGCCTATCCTGGCACTCGCTCTGGAGACCAGGCTGGCCTCAAACTTCCAGAGATCCGACTGCCTCTGCCTCCCGAGTGCTGGGATTAAAAGGTGTGTGCCACCAATGCCCGGCACATGGCAATTCTTATAAAGGAAAGCATTTAATTGAGGTGGTGACTTATAGTTCAGAGGTTCAGTCCATTGTCATCATGGTGGGGGGTATGGAGGCAGGCAGACATATGCTGGAGAAGGAGCTGAGAGTCCTACATCTTGCAGGAATCAGAAAGTCAACTGAGACACTCAGAGCTATCCTGAGCATACAGGAGACCTCAAAGCCCACCTCTACAGTGACACACTTCTCCAACAAGACCATACCTACTCCAACAAGGCCACACCTCCTAATAGTGCCACTCCCTATGAAATTATGGGGACCAATTTTGTAGATTAATAAGGCCTAGTACTTTTCATGATCCTCCTGCCTCAGCCTTCTGAGTACTGGGATCACAGCCATGTGCCAGTACACCCAGCTTAGGTTTTAAGGAAAAAAGTCACAAATTGTGGTTAATTGACTGGCCCTAAAGACAGGCAGGGGCTACATGCAATGACTTCTTGGCATTTCTTCCAACCTAAAGATTCCCAGAATGCATTTTAGCCTTTGCCTCCTGGCAGGTTTCTAACACTACAACAGAGATGTCCCCTGCTATTGAGATCCCTAAGAACAGATCAGCTCCAAGGTCCAGCCACCTAAATCTGATAAAAATAGCTGAAATACCATCATGGGTTTGCTATTTTTAAAAGCGTCTGAGATGCTGAATTGGGTTTATTTCTTTCTCAAATAGCATCTTGCTGTCCCCTCCTCCTGGTAGGCAGGATGTGAACGTGGCACATGTGAGGGACAGGGGCCAGGAGTCTGGTAGGCACATTTATCAGGCAGCTGCCTATTCAGGAGAAGCCTCAGGGACAGAGCTTCCCAGGCTCAGATGCACCTGCCTCTTTCCACATCCTTCTTCTTCTGTCTCCCCGCCCTCTGTTTGAGTTTCCCTGGTTGTTCCATCAGGGGTGTTCACCACGTCTTCCATAGGAGAATAGGAAAGGTAAAAAAAGAAGCAAAGACATGGTGATGGAGGTAGTATTGCTCACCAGCTGTGTAGGACTCCCTGCTGTTATGCTGAGGTTGTCTTGGCCCACCTCAGTACAGCTAGCCTGAGAACAGTCTTTCCAGGCCAGAGCCCAGGTTGTTACCCCCTGTTTCTTGGCAAGCAGCTTGTAGTGCCCTGTCAAGGGTACAGTGGGATTGTTGAGGACCTAGAACACAGGGACTGGGATTAAAGAGTACCTGTGTACTAGAATTTCTTCCCTCCCTTCCACAGAGGACATAGCACATAGATTGCTGACTCAGCTTCTGTCTACACTGTGAAGAAACTGGACAGGAAGCCCGGCATGGTGGCACTCCTGTAATCTTAGTTCTCAGAAGGTTAAGGCAGGAGGATCACAAGTTTGGGGTCAGCCAGGGCTGCTACTTAGTGAGACTATGTTAAAAAAATAAATAAAAGGAGGAGGAGGAAGAAAAGTGGAAGGGAAATGTCATAGACACATGGTGACCTAAAGCCGATGATCAGGACTGGGATAGGCTGGGAAATTGTTATGTGAATGAATTTTGAAAATTAAAAAGGTATTCTTCTTTGGGGTGAGGGAGAAACCTGGTCCAGGGAAACTCCCAGGAATCCACAAGGATGACCCCATCTAAGACTCCTAGCAGTAGCAGAGAGGGTACCTGAAATGGCCATCTACTGTAATCAGAATAGTGAAATCCCTAGTTGTCAATCATAGAGCCTTCATCCAGTAACTGATGGAAGCAGATGCAGAGATCCACAGCCAATCACAAGATTGAGCTCTGGGAATTCTGCTGAAGAAAGGGAGGAGGGACTGTATGAGCCAGGGGGTGAGTGGGGGTGGGGTGGGGTCAAGGTCATGATGGGGGAACCCACAGAGACAGCTGACATGAGCTCATGGGAGCACATGCACTCTGGACCAACAGTTAGGGAACCTTCATGGGACAGACCTAGGCCCTCAACATGTGGTAACAGTTGTGTAACTTGGTCTGTTTGTAAGGCTCTTAGCAGTGAGGTCAGGACCTGTCCTTGGCACTTAGCTGGCTTTTGGGAACCTGTTCACCATGCTGGATTACCTCAGCCTTGATGCAGGAGGAGAAGCACAGTCCTACCTCAACTTGATGTGCCATGTTTTGTTCTAGCCCATAGGAGGCCTGCCCTTTTCTGAATAGAGAAGGAGGAGGAGTGAATGGGGGGGGGGTAGATGGGAGTCAGGGGAGGGTATAAAGGAGAGGAGGGAGGGGAAACTGTGGTTGGTATGTAAAACAAATGAAAAAATGTTTATTAAATAAAATACAATTTTTAAAATGTATCTTTATTAAAAATACTTTTTCTTTTTTTAAAAATTACTTTTTCAACAACAACAAAAAGGTATTCTTCTACCTGTTTAATAAGAGCATAAGAAGTTACACATATCATTGTGATTTCAGGACAAGTTCACCTCCATTGCCTCATTCAGTACTAACAATAGCCCTTTGAATAAGCTCAGTTATTTCAAATGATTTTTTTTTTCTAGTAAGAAAAGGAAAGGTGCTGGGCAGTGGTGGCACACACCTTTAGTCCCAGCACTCGGGAGGCAGAGGTAGGCCGATCTCTGTGAGTTTGAGACCAGCCTGGTCTACAAGAGCTAGTTCCAGGACAGCCTCCTAAGCCATAGAGAAACCCTGTCTTGAAACGCCGCCCCCCCCCCCCAAAAAAAAGAAAAGAAAATGTATTTAGTGGTAGAGGCAGGGGTGGGACTCAGGTCTCCAGGAGCAAAAAACTGATTCTTAAGCTCAGTTTTAATGGCTGCAGGATTTTTTTTCATGGCCCTTAGCAAGAAGTGTGAACTTGTCTTTAAACCTACTTTGGTGAAGACTTAGCCAGGTTTGGAGGCTGGGCTGTTTCTTCGATCAGCTTGCCAGACACATCTAGGGCAGTTGTTTCTCTTGTGGCAGATTTTCTTTTATAAAGTAGGAATCTTCCTTCTTCTTTTTGACTTGTCCAACAAACAGACATAGTCATTGTGCTCTCTGTTACCAGCATAGTTCCAGACCAGGATATGATATGTAATAAATATTTGTTGAATGAATCCTTGACTGACAGGCCAGCCAAACGCATCGTGCAAATAAAACTAGGCTTTGGTGAGATGCCAAACAGCTTCTGCCTATGCAAGGTATAATTTAGGTAGAAACCTTCATCAATGGAAGAAGCTGGAGGCTGACTCTTCATTTTGTTCTTACAGAGCAGAACTTGTGAATTGGAGGTTCCCATCAGGGGAGTCCTCCAGCTTCCCCTGAAAATGACTAAACTGCCACTTCACTGGAACCCTGGGCGCTTACTGTCAGTTATTCATATCTTAAACTTAGTCACATCCTGTGCTGCTTAGTTCTTGAAGGGAGTGCACTGTAAGCCCTCTCTCTGCAGCTGGATAGTAAGCTTCCTGAGGACAGGGACTGGATCTGACACTTTTATTGGTGTCCCAGGGTGTTCATGCTAGGAACTCGGTAAAACTGATGACTCCTGAAAAGGTCAGTCCTGCAGGGTGGTTTCTGCACTCTTCTTCAGTTCAGGCAATTCTAGATCTAGCCCAAGGAATCAGGGTTAAAGGCTTGATGGGGTTTCCCCTGGAGACAGGATGCCTGGCGCCTTCAGCAAGAACGGAAACTGAGAAGTTATCCGAGGCTAAGTCAGGGTATGCAAGGGAGGGTGCAGAGGGGCCAGTTTGGGGCGCCCGGGCCAGCCATGAGGGCATGGGGGTATACTGGAAAGAAGGATGGACTCCCACTCCTGTACCTCAGTTACCACAGAGAGAAAAGGGCACTTTTCACCGTCCGGGGACAGCAAAGAAGCCTTTCTTGGTTCTTATTGTTCCCAGGAGAGGGTGGTATCACTATGTTGGGCATACTCATCTTGGCGCCAGTCACAAGCAGCCTTGCCCCTGGGCCTGCCCTCACCCGATCCGGCCTCCTGCACCCCGGGCGCCTCTCTCCGGACCTCGGAGGCCTCCACACCAACCCCAGTCCTCTGGCGGCCTCGCGCCCCCCGCCCTCTCTCCTGCGCGCGCCCTCCCTTCCCGGCGCCCACCCTCTGTCCTTAGCTCCCTCCTTCCTCCGCACCCGCCCTCCCTCCCCCGGCACACCCTCCCTCCTCCGCGCCC